AATAAGAAGGGAACAAGTCTAAAGAGAATACCTGAAAAGAAGAGCAACAAGGTACACAACACTAGAGAAACGAACAAGCTGACAGCAGTAAGTCTCTATCAATACAGACTTTGAATATAAACGGATGTGTTTTTTTCCAATCAGAACACAGAGCTGCTGACAGATTCAACAAAATAGAAAGCTGGCCAGTATGCTTTCCACAAGAGATTCACTTCAGACATAGGAACACAAAGGGTATAAAAATGAGAAAGTATAGAAAAAAACGAGAGTTGCTTTTTGAAAAGACCAGTAAAACTGAAAAATCTGTAGCTAAGAAAAACAGAAGCCAAATGCTCATGTAAAAATATGACTCTAAAATGGACTTTTAGTCAAAAACTGTCACAAAAGACAAAGATAGATAGTACGTAATGATAAAATAGCCAACCCACCAAAAAAATATCATACTTATAACTATGCTCACACCCAACATCAGCACCACCTATATAAAACAAACTGACAGCACTTTAATTCTAGAAGATCCAGGAAGGAAAGCTTGAATGGCAGGTAATGCTCTGGGCCCCTACATGTGGATCAACAGGCTGGCGTGAGCTGCAACCAGCTCCTTCATCTCTCCTGTAATTGTCTAGCATTGTTTGCCTCTTGTTCACGTAAGTTGGACTATGATAGCTGTATCTGTACTGAAGGTAAGCAGATGCATTTCTTGTCATTATACCCTGAGCAAGAATATCTAACAAAGATCTACATATAACTTTAATTGTATTGGCGGTATAAGTAATTACTAAGCATACAGTGAAATGCCAGGACATCAGTAGGTTTGCATATCTGTGGTGGCCCTGGTGCCCGTCCTCTGAGGACGCCCAGGGGTGACACTGCAGTGCATTCCACTGACAGGAATGGAGCACACATTCTTCTCAGTTAGAATGCTGTCCAGGGTTGAGAGAATTTTAGGTCACCAAACAAGTCTCAACAAATTTAAGATGTTGAAAACATGTAGCTTTTGTGACTGCAATGAAATGAAACTAGCAATAGCAGAAGGAAAACTGGAAAAATCAGGAATAAGTTGTAAGGTAAACCACATACTTCTGAACAACTAGTGAGTTAAAGAAGAAACCCAAAGGAAAGTAGAAAGATTGCTAGAGACGAACAGAACTACAGCACAACATTCAGAACTTTACATGATACCAAAAATGGCAATAATGATTGCAAAAACAGATTGATGATAGGTCTGAACAAGTGCATTGAGAAATATCCTGGGCTGAAGAGATGGCTCAGCCATTAAAGGCTATGCTCACAACCATAAATATAAGAGAAATATCCTAACAACATAACTTCACACGTTGTATAACTAGAACAAACTAATCCCAGAGTAAACAGAAGGGTGAAACAATAAACATTTGAATGTGAGTATATAACAAAAGGATTGGAAACATGCTAAAAGTAGATATTAAAACTGCTTTTTCCATGATAAACAAAATTGATAACTCTTTAAATGGAAAGAGAGAAAACAAAAGAGAGGAGACTCAAATATGTGAAATCAAGAACAAAAGCATGGATTTTATAATTGATGCCACAGAAATAACAAATATAAGACACCAATATGATACTTAGGTAAGTATTTCCATATTTGATATGCCAAAAATGTGAATAATTTGGATGAGATGGATCAATTCCTAGAAACCTGTGACCCACTCAAGACAGTATCATGAAGAAATGGAAAATCTGAACAGCTATAACCTGGAAGAAAATTGAGCTAGAACTCCAGATCTCCTAGAAGAGAAAACTCAAAGACCTTTAATGGACAAGTCTACCAAACCTCGAGGAAAACTCCAGGCTGTTGCTTCACAGACTCTTCAAAAATCTGAAACTGGAACACTTGCAGATTTTCTTTATAAAGTGAGAATTACTCTAATACCAAAGACTCTGCAAGAAATGAAAAGCACAGACCTTGGCTAATGAATACCTCCAACAACAACAACAACAATAACAAAAAAAAAAAAAAAAAACAACTTGCAAGTCAAATTCAGATAACAGTAGAAGGACCACATGTTGTATTAGTCATTTGGATTTATCCCTGTAATGCTCAAATGGCAGATGCTCTTTCTTCCTATCTCTCTATCTCTATCTCTATCTACCTATCTCTCTCTCTCTCTTTCCCTCCATCCCTCATCTCAATTTGTTTCTGTGTCTGTGTGTGTAATTCAGATACATCAATAAAACAAGGGATAAAAATCACATTTTTATATCAAAAGACAGAGCTGTTGGTTAAAATAAATTGTGTCTGCTATGATATAAATATTGCATGCCCACAACAGGTGTGGTACAAAAAAGTTTATCGTGAGAAGGGTGTGGAAGAGAGGGGAAAAGGATATAGAGAGACAATGGGCAGTGTATGAGAGCAAAGTGGGGAGGGAGACACACAGATAGAGGAACAGGCAAAGAGAAGAGGAAAGGAGAGAGAGCGAGTGGTTGGTCACTGCCTTTATCAGGCTGGTGGTAGGAGATGATGTCAGGTTGCTAAGCAACATAGAGGCAGGATGGTGCGTTGGCCTGTGAAGTAACATTGCACCCTTTTCCTATGATTGAAAAAAAATGGGAAGCTAGGGAGGGGTAGTGAGGCAGGAAGGAGGACATTGGACTGTTTTTCATGCAAGGCAAGTTAAAGTATATAAATGTAGGTTCATTGGAAGCAGCTCATAGCCACCATGGAGGGATGAGGGAGGGAAGGAGAGAGGGAGAGAGAGAGAGAGAGAGAGAGAGAGAGATTGAGAAGCAAGAGCACCAAAATGTCCAGATTATATGGAGAAGGGGAAGCCTCTGTCCTGGAAAGTTCAGAATAAAGGGCAAGGCATACTCACCATTCCCTACAGCAGATAGGGACTGAGGAATGCTGGCAGACCTGGAGCTGTTTGTTCTGTGTCTGGAGCACATCATTGTCAGGCTAAATAAGTTTATTATTTGTCCTATAATTATTTCACATCTGTGAGATCCACTGTCATAATCAAGAAGACACAGACACCTGTTAGATTTTATATTTGCCTTATTTTACTTTGGACTGGGCAGATAATTTCACCTAAGTTATCTCATATCTCCTAGCCCCATCCCATGCCACCTGCCTTAAGCATTCCAAATTGGGTTGCCTCCCATATGTAATCCCAAATACTTGCTTGTATTCTTCATCTGGGCCTTTCCATGCCATTCTTGGAGCCCTTCCTGCTGGCCCATGTGGTTTCTTTTCCATCAGATTCATGGTGGCTTCCTTCCTTCCCCTCTCCTCTTGTCTGTCCTTTTGCAAGAAGACTTCAGTCCCAAGCCCATAAACCTTAGCTCTGCCCACCTCACCTTTGCCCTGCCCAGGTCAGCTTTTTTTTTTTTTTTTCTGTTTTCTTTTTTTTTTAATTAACCAATCAGGAATAATGTCTTAGGCAGGTTTACACAACAAGGATAGGTGTATTTGGGCAGTAGCCATAGGTGTATTTGACTAGTAATTACCATCAAAATTTATAAGCACCAGACCAAACCTCAACATAGAGCATTTGACACAAAGACTAACAGTCCAACACCAAAGGAAGCCAATGCAGGGACTCAAGGCAGAAACCACAAGAGAGGAACTGAAGCAGGGATCACAGAGGAATGATGCTTATTAGCTTTCTCCTATTGGCTTGCTCAGGCTCCTTCCTTATACAAAGTAGTACCACCTGTCCAAGGGTAGCACCTTCCTCAATACACTGGGCCCTCCCACCTCAGTCATTAATCAACAAAATCCTTACACAGTTGCCCACAGGCCAATCTGATGGAGGCATTTTCCATCAGATACAAACTGAGTTTGTATTAAGTGTATACACACACACACACACACACACCTAACTAGTACAACTCATTTCATGGTAAAAAAGACTTACTGAAGTAATTACAGAAGGAAATTACTTGAAACTTTTAAAATCTTGAAGATACAGTCTAACCAATGCTGAGCAACTGAGACCTTTGTCACTGAAATCAGGAGCAAGTCATTGGTGCCCATTTGTACAATTAATGTAGTAGTAGTAGAGGGTCTAGCTATTTCTAGTGAAGAAAATTAATCAATTAATTAACCAATTAAATAATGTATTAATCAGTGTTCTGCTGCCATGAAGGGACACCATGACCACAGCAACTCTTATAAAGGAAAGCACTTAACTGGGACTGACTTAGAGTTTCAGAGATTTATTAGTTCATTAGCTGTCATGACAGAAAGCATGGTAGCATGCAGGCAGACATGGTGCTGGAGAGGCAGCTGAGAGTTCTGCATCTTGATCCACAGGCAGCAGGAAGAGACGGAGACACTGGGCCTTGCTTGAGCATTTGAAACCCCAAAGCCCAACTCCAGTGACATACTTCCTCCAACAGACTACAAGTTCTAATCTCTCTCTAATCTCTCCTCTTAATGATGAAGAATTCACATATTTGAGTGCATGGGGGCCATTCCTGGTCAATGAAGTGGGACTATATTTGCTTGCTTTTACCTAGCAGCCAACAGAATCCATATGTCTTGTTCTCTAGGATCCTTGTGTTTGAAGAAAAGGTAAAAGTAGCCAGGAGTGGTGGCACATTCCTCTAACCTCTGCCCTTAGGAGGCTGAGGCAAGAGGTCATGAGTCCTAGGCCAATTTGTCTGCATGGTGAGGCACAGTCTTTTTAAAAAATTATTTATTTTTTTAATTAATTACTGTTTATTCACTTTGTAGGGAGCTGTAGCCCCCTCCCTTGTCCCCTCCCAAACCTACCCTCCCTCCCTCATGTCTTCCCATGCCCTTCTCCAAGAACACTGATAGGGGAGGTCCTCCTCCCCTTCCCTTTTTACCCTAGCCTATCAGGTCTCATCATGACTGGCTGAATTGTCTTCCTCTGGGTCAGTTTTTCATTAGTGCAATAGTGTATCTAAAAGTCTTAATGTCTTTGATGTTCTTTCTGAAGGACTGCATGATCATTTGAGCTTTTATTTTCTCTTTTTATTGAAAATTACAGATCATCAAGTTATTGGATGGAAAACGATCTCAAACTGTGGGAATCTTGATATCCAGTTTACATTTAGAAATGAAAGATATCCAACAGGGTAAGTCTTGCCCATCGCTTCACTCCAGCTTTTAAATTATCTTAGTTTTTCCATGCATATTAATCATATAAGATTGCACCTTTGTCATGACATTCACACACATGCATGTGAGGTACTTTGACCTTACTTCTCCACTGTTGCCTACATCATCTCTCCAACATTTCCTGCTAATATACTTCTTAATCCATAACAGCCTTCCTTTGAAAGTTTTTGAACATTCTATTGTGAAATTTTTCAGACATGCCCAAAAGTTAGAATGCCACAATGAATTGTTAATTTTGTTTTCTATAAGCAGTGCCTCAGCCCACTAGATTGTTCTGAAAGAGATCTCTCAGTTTGTAATTCATCTTGTAAAAACATTAGTACTATCAGTGAAGGTAAAGGGACTTTTCCAGAATACAACTGTGGCACCATTGTTTTGAAGATGGTTAACCAAATATTTCTGGGTATTATCAGAGATGCAGTTATTATTTACTTGGTTCGCTATGTACTAGTTGACTCAACCTTTCTTTGGCACCTGTTTTCAATGAGGGTTCCAATAGACATCCTACATTGCCATTGACATGTCTCTTATGTTTTCTCTTGATATATAGTTTTTCTGCCCTCCATCTTTGTTTTGAGTTTTAGCTTGGTAATTGATTTGTTAAGGAAACCCACTCAACTTGTCTTACAATTTCCCACATTGAGATTTTTGCCAATGGCATGACCATTCTCACATTCCTCTATCTTCTGTGTTTCCTGTGAAGTGTTAGGTTGATCTAAATTTACACTGGGAAAGGGAGGAGTTTTTTGTTTCTTTTTTTAATAGATGCCAAGCATGCTGTATGTTATATATACAAGACTTCTTCAAAGTTAATTTATTGAATGATTCGTGAGGTTAGTGGGCACTGAGGATTTTTGTCTATGTTTATTACTTTATTAGAAATGTAAAAGGCATTGTTGTATAGATTCCATCATTTTTTATTCATTAGATGAAATATGTCTATAGAGAAAAGCAATTTGATTTTACCATTGTTTCTTACCCCTCCCCCTTTATTAAATTCATAGCATTTCACTTTGTTATCTTTGGCACATTTTTTAAAATTTTTTTAATTTTTTACTATTAATTACACTTTATTTATTTTGTATTCCCCCATAAGCCCCTCCCTCTCACCCTTCCTCCCCCTTCCTCATGCATTTCTTTCCCCAAGTCCACTGATAGGGGAGGTCCTCTTCTCCTTCCTTCTGATCTTAGTCTATCAGATCACCTCAGGAATGGCTGCATTGTCATCTTCTGTGGCCTGGTAAGGTTGTTCCCCACTCAGGGGGAGGTGATCAAAGAGCAGGCCAATCAGATTATGTTAGAGGCAGTCCCTCTTCCCTTTACTATGTAACCCACTTGGACACTAAACTATCATGTGCTACATCTGTGCAGGGGTTCTAGGTTATCTCCATGAATAGTCCTTGGTTGGATTATGAGTCTCTGGGAAGTTCCCTGTGTTCAAGTTTCCTGGTTCTGTTGCTCTCCTTGTGTGGTTCCTGTCCTCTCCAACTCTTACTATTTCCCACTTCTTACATAAGATTCCATTCACTCTGCCCAACAGTTGGCCATAAGTCTCAGCGTCTGCTTTGATAGTCTGCAGGGCAGAGGCTTTTAGAGGCACATTTTTAAATAAAAGCATTTGAAGAGGTTGCTGCATAGACTGGCTAGGAAAAAAAAATGGAGTTGAGAGGAAGGGGGAAAATTCTACCTTGATTTCTATACGTGAAAACTTTGCCTTTCATATTTGTTCCTCAGAAAGGCATATGAATACAAGTAATCTTCAGAACCTGAACTCTAAAAGATGTCTTTCCAAAGAAAACACTTCTTTTTATAAGTTTTAAAATATTTATTTCTTTTTATTTTGTGTGTATGGATGTTTCATATGCACATACCATATGAATGCAGAGGTCATGGAAGCCGAGAGGGCACCCGGTCCTGTGGGACTGGAGTTATAAGCAGTTGTTAGTCATGATATGAGAGTTGGGAACTGAACTCAGGTCCTCTGCAAAAGCAACACATTCTCTTAACTCCTGAGCCATCTCTTCGGACCCATTTTATTATAATTTCTGAAAGAATAAGCTTTACTTTGATTTGCTTCCTAAACGTAGACCCAAACAAATCATGCCTCTTTTAATATTTGTGTCTTGCATTAAAACAGCATTCCCTGTGTTCAGCCATTAACTAAATTTAAGCCCTAACTTGCATGTGTCTCTTACAGCATCTCCTGGGTGGTAATGCCGCATATTGAGAGGGTTTTAGTACAGGTGAACAGAGAGCACCAGCACAGACACTCAGAAGCAGCCCTTCCCAAAGTCATTTCACTCTGCTGCTGCTCTGGAGCAGACTCCTGAAGGCCCTAAAGAACCTTTCTCACACTGCTTTTCATTTCAAAGTGGCTTTGGTAGGAGTTTGAAATTTTTCTACAGTATAAAAAAATGTTTTGAGTTTATTAAAGATAAAACATTTTAAGTAAATGACAGTCATAGAGTATTTAAATAGGCTGATTTTTCTTGTTTGCTTGCCTCTTTTTTTGTTTTTGAGACAGGATTTCTCCTTATAGCCCTGGCTGTCCGGGAACTCTCTTTAGACAAGATTGTCTTCAAACTCAGAGATCTGCCTGCCCCTACCTCCTGAGTGCTGATATTAAAGGCATGTGCTACCACCACCTGGTAATAAGCTGATTAAAAAATATTTTTGGCTTAATAATAGAACCAAATATGTAATGTAAATATTAAACTTCAAAAAAAATGTAATAGTTGGTGGCTGTTTGGAACAGAGGGTTTTGAAATGCCTACTATTGAAATTAGAAGTTTTCATTGGCTATAGAGGCTTCTAGAAGAAAACTTCAGATCAGGATTTTGGTGAGAAAATAACATATAGGGAATAATTATTGAAATGAGAAGATTTATCAACTGTGGTGAAAGAGCTTTGCTCTTAACTTATACTTCTCACACACTTAGTAGATCTCAGAGAGATTTGATTTTATGTAACAATATGGATATGAATTTTCCAGCTTTCAACATCACCCGAAACTTTGTTCAGTTCTTTTTGGGTATCTATCACTGAGTATTTACAGATTGCCTATGGATAAGGGAGTTTGAACCATGTGACATATCACTTACCAACTCAGGGCCATATACTTTTCCATGGCATTACAGTCCCATTGGACTGAATATTCATTGTGAAGTAAACAAGATGTTAGTTTCCTAGACCATTCCAGCTTAATACTCAAGCCAAAAACGTGTGTGTGAGGCAAATATGACCTTTCATTACAGCTTTGAAAGCTCTAATCATTGCATAACAGATTTCTATGACTTGTGTGTATAATTATAGACTTTTGTTTTCCACAAACAATTATAGTCTATACATATGGCTCCTAAAAACTCATCTCTATGGGACTTCTTGATGTAATAATATATACAAGATGGATATAGCAAAATAACCAGAGGTTATGTTATTAAATTATTCCTTTTAGAGTCAGAAACACTGGTTTCTGATGTTATTCTGAATCCAAGCCTTATTGTGAGTGGAGTATGCCTGTGTTGTCCTGTTGAAAGAATACCTCATGCTGATGCCAGCCTGAACCATTAATGTCAATGTGAGGGGACTGAAGCAAGATCTGATCAAAGGAGTCGAACTGACAGCTAGGCAAATCTTTACTGCTGATATGACGGTTAAGAGCATATCCTTCTACCTTCTGGACATGGGGTCATATCTGGCAGGGTGCAAAGACAAACGGTGTTAACTTGTTCTTTTCAGAGTCTTAAAAATAATGTATATAAATCTAAAATCTAATATATAAAAGTTCACATTTATTTCACATAAGCATGTTCTCAACTACAAAACTGAAAAGGCCCAGGCGAGCTACTGTCTTGTTCACCTCATAATGAACCGTCAAGCCAATCTCATGGCTGTAATTCCTTGAGAAGGTTCATGGTCCTGAGCAGGTTAACTGCAGTATCAAATGACTCAAATGACCCTTATCTGTGTGGCAATCTGTCATGCTCGCAGGACATATGCAAAATGAACTGAATAAAATTTGTTATAAGTAAAATAGTGACCATGCCTGTTCATTGTTTCCTCCTTATCCTTGTTTACCCTTGATGTAATGTATACAGTTTTCCAAGTAAGATGTGATGTCTACTTCACTACCTCAACACATGCATGGCAAACACAATAAATATGTTTTGAGTCAGAGATAGGCAATAATAGGTAGATGACAGTATGACTGCAAAGAAACAAGCAGAGACTAATTCTGAGAATTATACCCCTGGTTCTTGGAAAATGTACTCTTCAGCTTACCAGTGAAGGTAAGGACCTGTAGGCAATTTGAAGCACTTCAGGGTTCTAGCTTTCTAAATGTAATGGTGGCTTTTCAATATGTCTTGCTGAGATTACAACTCTATCTGTCTGTCTGTCTGTCTCTCTACCTACCTACCTACCTACCTGCCTACCTGCAGTGCTGAATATCAAATCCCACAACCTTGCACACCCTCAGCATTTGCTCTACCTCTGAGCTACACACCCACCTTGTACCACTTAAGTATCAAGTATGCAAGTAGGTAATCTGATATTTACCAGTTCAGCCTTTAAAAGAGCACATTTGTTTGCTGTG